GGACGACGAGACGAAGAGATCGCCGTCGAGATTGCCGCCGGACTCCGCCGCACGCGTCGTCACGCGTCACCGGGAGGTTCCAGCAGCTGAAGCTCAATCGCGCGCGTGTGAGCGCGTGAGACCTCCGATTTCTGATCGGTCAACGCCGTTGACTTCTCCGTGACGTCAGCTTTCTGGATTGGTCAAGTTTGTTTGATTCCGAGAAAATTTGATTTGCGGTCAACTGTTCGGGCCAGCCAGATCTACATAAATTTTAAGCAGTAAGTTTTTTTCATCAAACCTTTAGATCCGCTGCGCATAGGTTTATGTTGAATGTTTGTCCGTGATTTGTGCATATCTAGATCCTCATGGGTTCCAACAGTTTGGACCTGGTTTTATTACGTACATGTTGGACGATGAACTGAGTTCCCTTAAGGAAGCTCTGTCCAGCCCAGATGGACCCTCTGGGAAGAAGCTGTAAATAGCGAAATTGAGTCCATTATGCAAAATCATACTTGGGAGTTGGTTGATGTCCCTGATGGTTGTAAACCTTTAGGATGCAAGTGGATCCTAAAGAAAGAAATATAAAGCTGATAGATCGATTGACAAGTTTAAAGCACGTTTGGTGGTCAAAGGCTTTAAACAAAAGGAAAGGTATGATTCTTTGATACCTATTCACCTGTTACGCGTTTAGCGTCGATAAGAGTGCTTCTCTCGATTGCTGGTGTGCACAATTTTGAGATTCACCAAATGGATGTCAAAACGGCGTTTTTGAATAGTGAATTGAAGAAGAAATATATATGGAACAACCTGAAGGGTTTGTTGCACCTGGACAAGAGAGAAAGGTGTGTAGATTGATCAAATCCTTGTACGGACTGAAACAAGCTCCGAAACAATGACATTTGAAATTTGATGACGTGATGTTGACAAATGATTTCAAAATCAACGAATGTGATAAATGTGTTTATGTCAAGAGTACATCAAATACATTTGTAATTGTATGTCTATATGTAGACGATACGTTGATCATGGGGAGTAGCCATAAAGTGATCATGGATACGAAAAGAATGTTGAAAAAAAATTTCGACATAAAAGATATGAGTTTGGCTGATGTTATTCTCGGAATAAACATTATCAGAACCCAAGATGGAATTGTCTTGTCACAATCTCATTATGTAGAGAAAGTGCTCAAGAATTTTGATACCTACGACGGTGCACAGTCTAGGTGTAAGACACCCCTTGATCTCAATATAATCTGGAAGTCAAAAATGGGCAACCAGTGGCTCAGTTGGAATATTCACGGATAATAGGGAGTTTGATGTACTTGACGAATAAGTTGAGCAGATTTACAAGCAATTCCAGTCATGAGCACTGGAATGATTTGAGAAGAGTACTTAAGTACTTGAGGTACACCCTTGAATACGGGTTAAAATACTCGAGATACCTAGCTATACTTGAAGGGTATTGTGATGCAAGATGGATATCAGATTCGAGAGATTCTCACTCCACTAGCGGATATGTTTTTTGTATTGGAGGAGGTGCAGTTTCGTGGAAATCCACAAAACAAACGTGTATAGCCCGGTCAACGATGGAATCGGAGTTCATCACTTTAGATAAAGCTGGTGAAGAAGCCGAGTGGCTTAGAAATTTTTTATCCGATATTCCATGTTGGGATAAGACTTTGCCGCCTATGATGATTCACTGTGATAGCCAAGCTGCTATAGGTAGGGCGCAAAGCAACTTGTATAACGGTAAGTCTAGACATATTCGTCGTAGACATAGTATCCTACGTCAATTGATCACAAATGGTATTATTTTCATTGACTATGTGAAGTCTAAGGAAAATTTGGTTGATCTTTTGACGAAAGGATTGAATAGAGATCAATTTGACTGTTTTGCAAGAGGGAATGAGCTTAAAAATCCACAATGTAAAAAATGATCATAGTGGTAACCCTACCATGCTGAGCGGAGATCCCACAAATTTGGTTCAAAGGGAAAACTAAGCTATGAAAATTCAGTCGAGCACTTGGAACATATGAATGTCCAAAGCTATTCCCTAGAGCACTTCAAGTGCAAAATTACCTGTTGATTGTGGTGAGGGTAAGTCATATGGACTTCTAATGAATCCCTAACCTTGTAAAGGTGGAGTAATACAGAATACTCTTAATAGGGAGGTCACCTATATAAGTGTGAAGTGAGGGCCGCTTCAAATGTAAACACTTATGAATCCATTGTAATGTTCATGGCCAAAACGGACACAACATTAGAACGAAATGGAGTTAAGACTATATTGTGTGAATGTCATTGTCTAGGTGTACACTATGGATGAATAGTTCAAGGAATTATGTCCACTAGGCCGCCAGTACATCCGATGATGTTTACTAAGAGAGGTTCAAAGCCAAAAGCTACCTTTTCTGATGCAATAGAGTTTTGGGAGGATTGAACACAAGAATCAGTAAATATGTGTATTTCTTTATTTTCTCTTTTGTGGGGGATTGTTAGAATAATGGAGTAGTGGGGAGGTGCATCTCTCCCACATGCCACCGCCCATTTGTCCACTTTGCAGTTGTATTATTAATAAAAAAAATATTTTTTATTTCATTCTCTACTCTATAAATAGCCCTTTCGGGCAGAAGGAGAAACACACGAAGAAGAGAAAAAGAGAGGAAAGAAAGGAAAAGAGAAAGGAACGAAAAGATAGATATATGTCCAAATACCGGACATAAAAATATCAAAAGAGAAGAAACAAGTGATATTTCTATTGTTTTATGATATTCCTTTAATTTTTAAAGTGCTCAATTCTCGACTCCGTTCTAGTTCGCCGGAGCTCGTAAATCTGGTGTGCTACAGATTTAGAGACGTTTGCCGTTGTATCTTTGTGGAAGTTACGCCTGAACCGTTAGCAACACACGGGGCGTATTCTTCTTGCGGAAAGAGTTTACTCGCTTCGGCTAAAATCTTTCCGTTTTTCAGTTGTAATTTATTTTTTCAGCTCAATTGTAATTTTTTTTTTAGATTATTTGTGAGAACTGAAGAATACATATCAGTTCGTAGGATTCCCGTGTACTTTCACACCAAGTATCCAACATGAACTATATATAATCTTGTGCCCTTTTGATCACTCTATATCCAATTTTTCCTGCTCAATTTTTTAAATATTTATATCGTATGCACATTTATTACTAACATGTTTTATTAATTTTTCTCCTTCAGCCAAATGAATATGTATTATGCAAATTGACTCGACTAACCATTAGGAAGATATATGGATTTACCATTTTTATACAACGAAGTTACATATTTATGTTATGAAATATTATATTTTTATTTATGTTGTTTTTTAAGCTGATCGATTCATTATTCTTATATAGCGTACTGCATACTTATGTTATAAAAAATCATATTTTTATTTATTTTATTTCGTAGAATATCATAATTTTATTTTATATTTTATATTTTTTTTTTAGGATATCATAATTTAAATTATATTAATTTCATTAAAAATCCATGTAGTTAATTACTTGAACATCATTACCTCGTTGGGGGTCGTTCCACATCACCTCGTTGGAGGTCGTTCCATAGTTAGGGCTTTGTGTTTATGTTGTTTGAGTTTCTTTCTAGCGTTGCTTGTCGGGTTCTAGGCGGTCTTATGACCTGTCCTCCCAGTTTTATTCAGCTGTTGGCTGTATTATTCAGCTAGGGGTTGTGTACTTTGCACGTTTGTGCATTTTTGTTATATAATATTTCCTATCGTTTCGAAAAAAAAAAAATTACTGCATAAAAGGGTTCATTTAGTAATGTAAGTTATGTAGGAAAATTTGGAGAAAGAGTACAAACAATTAAAGATAATATCATAATTCACGAGTGGTAGAGAGTATGTCCCCAAAATTCTTTCAAAATTACTGGGACATCATTAAGCAAGACCTATGTGCAGCTGTTTTCAGCTTCTTTGAATCTGGTAGAATGCTTAAAAACTGGAACCATACATTGATAACCTTGATCCCTAAATGCCTTAATCCCTCTGAGATGAGCAACTTCAGGCCAATTAGCCTTTGTGGTGTTACATACAAGATAGTCTCCAAACTTCTTGCTAACAGACTGAAACCACTTTTTTGTAAATTCATCAACAATAGTCAGGCAACATTTGTCAAAGGAAGGCAATTGATTGATAATGTGATTGTGGCTCAAGAGGCTATCTATTTCTTAAATAGGCATAGATCAGGAAATAAGTGCTACATGGCTTTAAAGTTAGATATGATGAAGGCCTTTGATAGAATAAAGTGGAATAACATCATTAAAATTCTTTTGAGCCTGGGTTTCCACTCTTCTTTTGTGCAATGGATTTTCTCATGTATTTCAACAGCTTCATTCTCATTCAATATCAATAGGGATATGTGTGGTTATCTGGAGCCTATAAGAGGAATAAGACAGGGAGATCCTCTATCCCCCTATCTTTTTATAATTGTCTCTGAAATGTTCTCAAGGCTTATTGGCAATGAAGTCAGACAGGGGAACTTTAAAGGAATGAAACTTGTGAGGAATGGCACAGAGCTCACTCATCT